AAAAAAAAAAAGAAAGAAAGAAAGAAAGAAAGAAAGAAAGAAGAAAAGAAAAGAAAAAGGAAAGTATCATCCTTCTACGTCTCGAGAAGAACTCATTGAATATTTAAACAGGGAAAGAAAGAGAGAGAGAGAGAGAGAGAGAGAGAGAGAGAGAGAGAAAGAGAGTTGGAAAGGAGGCATGCATCTTGCAGGATTAACAAAACGAGAGAGAGAGAGAGAGAGAGAGGGAGAGAGAGAGAGAGAGGGAAGGGGAGAAAGAACAGGGAGATAAGTGTCGTTTGAAAGAAGAACTCGTTGTAATGCACGATCGCGTTCGCAGTTCTCGTGGAAAACGATAAAAGTACGTCGGCGGCATAGTCGATAACCAATATCCGTGGAAGCTGGACTCGATCGAGAGAGGCAGACTTTCATTTTCTTTTTCTCTTTTATCCCTTAGAGAAAAATCCTATTTTCTATCTCTTTTTTAACTTTTTACGCACGTGCGATATACCCGAGCCATATTCACACACGCACACACATGTATGTATATATATATATATATCCATTATGCTGCTATAACTAAGAAAAAATTTTCCGCATAAGCGTTTATTAAGCGCTTTATTTCTATATTCAACGAATTTATTTATCTATCTTTGTTCAGGCACGCACGTGCAGCCCAGACGCCATTGGAGATTTTTTTTTTTCAGATTCAAGAACCGAATTTGAAAAGATTCAAATACGCACAGTAGACTCCGACAATTACAAAAAGAAATCTATATTTCACGACAATAAATATAATTTTCAAAAGATTTGCAATTGTTTCTCCGGTAAGTTTGAAAAAATATTTTTCTTTTTTTCTTATCACTTCTCGAATGTTTAAGATATCTTACGGACTATATTAAGGGTATACTAAAGTGTTTTACTTTTGAACTAAAATTCATCAAAAGTTTTATGAACAATAAACAATGTAAATACAACGAAGAATCGTTCAACGAATAACAGTGTTTCCCGCGATAAATGAATTCTCTTTAAAAAAATCTCTTTGCAAAAAAATTCGTAGAACAACTCGATCGTGTTCGTAACAAATTATTATTACATATCGATTGAATATTTTATTCATGCAGGATAAACAACGAACTGATCATAAACTCCAAATGAACAAGTTTGTGATCTATCAGTTAGCCTTTAGCAAGTTGAAACGTACAATACAATGGTGCTTTTATTCGCCAGCTCGATTCTAGATACAACGCTGTTTCTGTTCGCACATAGTTTGCGAACTGTCTGACTAATGTGGACTCAGCATTAGACCTTCGACTGAGATGTTACCTTTATCGTAATACTTGCATGATTTTCCTTGAAACCTTGTTGAATGTTTCCTGAATAGATTTTGTAAATAAGAACGCACGATATAAAACACGCTCGCTAAATTTATCGTATAAATATACTCTATCTGAAATATTGGATTATCATGAGATTCAGTTTTGTTATCTAACGATTAAAATAATAACCCTTATAACTGCACATACATTATCAACATCCTACTGATAGTTATATCATTTCTCTATACATATTTCAAAAATTTATTTATTTGATTACATTTGACACGATTCGTTTCAATTCTGGCACAATTTCGTACGATTAATTTCTATTTCAGAATCAGAGAGTTTTGATAATTCACGAACAATTTTTGTATAATTTTTGAACGACGCAACAAATACACATTATGAAAGTGCTTTTGGATGCGTTTCTCGCAAAGAGAAACCAGAAATGATAGTCGATTTGCATGGAAAATTTTTCATCGTGAATAAAATATTCTCGAAAAAAAAAGAAAAAATACTATTCTTTAACGCGACTTTTTTTTCGAAAAAAAAAAAAAATAAAGCCTTTACAAAAATTTGAAAAAGATTTGTCCTAGATTAAATCTTCGTCTTTAAAACGAGATTAATTGTTCATCAAAACCGAAAATTAAAATAAAAAAAAAAAAGAAAAAGAATTAAGCCTGTTTTCATTGATGGCATAAACCATCATAAAACCATGATGATTATGAACAGCCTTAACAGCCTTAAGGGCCGTTAAAAATCAAACAAACAATCTATGATATGTATGAGTAAATGTTAAATAAACTTTTTATATAAATAAAAACAAATTATTATATTCCGATATCTTTGGACGTACATCCTTGTAATCGTTACTCCGAATGATGATCTTTAATCCAATAAAATTTCTAAGAGAAATCGATATTTCATAGGATCTATTATCTTTTACGATCACGATCTATCGATCTTCGAAATAAAATATTCGAAAGCGTGTAGAAATGGAGGTCTTAAGGGAGAAGGAGAGAAAGAGGGAAGTAGAGAGTGGGAGAAATTTCGGTGAATGAGAAAGTACGAATGCAATTGCAAGAAGGAGAGAGAGAGGGAGAGAGGGAGAGAGGGAGAGAGAGAGAGAGAGAGAGAGAGAGAGAGAGAGAGAAATGCATACAAAGTAGGGAAGAGAGGATGAGGATGAGGGTGAGAGACTTCGCAACAACTCCGTGTGCGACAGCATGAGAAGAGAGTAGATACGTGAAACCCGGGACAATGCAGTTTCGAGCTCACCGTTTCGCAACCACGAAGGCTCCAAAGAGACTGTTTAAGTCCCGTCATTAAGCTCGTAAGCCCGGTCCTAATGTCACGACACAAAGCCACAATACGAAACCACGATGTATATATATATATATATGCTCGGAGTCAGTAGTAGAAGATTGGTACCTACCATCAAATCGACAAGAAGTATTTCTCTAATCTCTAATCAACCGAAATTACGTAGATCCGGAAATAACAAGTGAAATTATGCGAATAATAATTAATTGAAGAGAATCCATTTTAATGATCGTTAACATTTATATCTGATCTATTTCTCTCTCTCTCTCTTTTCTTTTAATTTTTTCTTTTTTTCTTTCTGTATCAATGCTCGTTAATAATTAATTATCACGAATTTCTCGTTATCGGGATATTTATGGTATATACGAACGATAGCCTCGAAATTACTCGTTATACCGTAAATTAGAGAATTAAACCGTGCCAATCGACAACGATCAAAATGGTATCTCGTTATTTATTACCATTGTTAGAGAAAATAATGAAGGAATATGAAATTGTTTGCTTCAAATTTGTTCGTCTATCGCGAATAAACGAACGATGCCGACGAGAGGCAACGTTCCCGATGGAATATGGGTTAATCGCGGTGGATATTACGAGACGTATATCACGCTACCCTCTTCCTCAGAGAGTGAGAGAGAGAGAGAGAGAGAGGGGGGGAGGGGATATTCACGAAATACGATATTCGAAGGAAAAGCTCGATAACGTCATCGGTAACGACGAACGTCGTTACTCGATAATAAAAGTCAAACGACATCTCGATGCAACCTGCAACCTACAACCTGTAACCTTACATCCCTCGCGTCCAACATTTTTCTTCTTTTCCTTCAATGATAAAAAAAAAAAAAATCAAAAAAGAATCGAAGATATATTGAATAATTTAAATAAAAAAAAAAAAAAAAAAAAAAAAGAAATGAATAAAAACAAGTAAGAAACAAAAACCAAAAGAAAGACAAAATATCGTTTCACATCTGACAAAGATTAGTTCTAATCATCAGGTAAAAACTTATATATGTAATCCTCATAAACTGTAGATAGATAGATAAATAGATAAATAGATATATGTATAATGTAAGAGTAGGGTAGTTCCGGTTGATGCATAAGTCTCCTAGTGCAAACTTCAGGCCTTACTCGGGAAGGCAGATTTATCGGGAATACATCTGGAGCGTGTTATCGATTTATCAGGCACGTATTATGTATCATCTGGATAAGCTTGATTCCTAGTATATATATATATATATATATATATATATATATATATATATATATATATACATATATATATATATCGCTGGTGAATCGTATGACTTGTCTCACGGAAGGAAAGCTTACGACGTACACAAGCAAAGAAAACACATCGAGAGAGATCGACACTAACAAAATCGTTACTAGTCCCTCTTTCCCTTTCTCTCTCTCTCTCTCTTTCTCTCTCTCTCTATCATTCTCTTTAGGTTGACTCGTAAACAGTGTTCTCGTAGCGTGACTGCACCTTGTAAATCAGTATCCACACCCTCGTGCGACGTAACACCAGCAGATCGTAGATGCAAACGTACGTCGAACCTGCAAACGCCTCTTCTCCTGTAACCAACGATCCCTTTCTCGCTCACAACCCTTATCTCTCTCTCTCTCTCTCTCTCTCCCTCTCTTTGTACGTTACTCTACGTGGAAGTAACAGGGACTTGGAACACAAATGTCAGGAACACACACACATATGGTCTCTCCATGTCAACACCAAAGAGATTTCCACGTCTACGATATGCCAAACTACGTTTTCGATCTGTACTCACGACTTAGACTTCCAAACGGAAAGTCATGCCACAGGCTTCCTAGAAATATTCTGAAAATTGTTCTTAAAGAGAAAAACAAAAAAAAAAAAACAAAAAATATCATTACAAAAAGACTCGTCACTCGATTTTACTTGTTAAATCCACCAATGTTCTCTTCGTTTTTTTTTCTCTTTTACAAGATCGGTATCAATAAAAAAAAAAAAAAAAAAAAAAAAAAAAAAAAGAAAAAATAAGGAAAGAGAACAAAGAAAAGAAAAGAAGAAAAAAAAAAAGAAAAAACAAGGACCAAAGTTAATCTCTTTAAAAGTAAAAGAAACTTAAAGTTAATCTCCCGTTAATACTTTCTATCTTGCTGTGTTTATGCGAGACAATAAAAATTTTTAAAGCACTGGGCAAACCTTTTTTTCCCGTCTTTATCTCTCTCCCTCTCCCTCCCTCTCTCTCTCTCACTCTCTCTCTCTCTCTCTCTCTATCTATCTCTTTTTTCTTTAGCACGAAGAAGAGAAAAGGAAGATATAAAAGGTAGATACGCAAACGACGTCGATCGTTTTCCACGATCCTATTTCAAACGTATTACGGAGAGGTTACGCTCGACTGTAATTTCTGTGGCAGTTTATTTATGGCCGGTCGTGGTCGAGCGAACGGTTGCGGTCTTACACTATCTGCGAAAGAAAAAGAGGAAAGAAAGAAGGGAGAATTTCTCTGGGCATGTACGTCGTAGGTAATAAAGACATTACATCTCTCCCTTCCTACCCTATCTCATCTTGCCACTCGTCCCTAAGAATCTAACGAATACTTATTTACATGTCGTAACATTTTTCATTCTGGCGCATGCAAATATAACAATGTTGGCATCATAGATAACAAAGATGTCAGCATAACAAAGAGAGAGAGAGAGAGAGAGAGAGAGAGACTCATCCACCTCATTCCAATTCACCCCTATCATCCCGACCTTCGCCGCACCTCACGTTCACCACCGCTTCACACGAATCAGAAAACCCTGAGAAGAGCTTTCTCTTTGGATTAATGTAATATACGATATGCAATATAGTTTTTCTTTCCAACGATATTAAAGTACTTGAATTTGACTTAACAAAGAAATTTTTGTTAAAATTTCTATCGGTCTAAGTGATAGTACGATTTAGTATAGATTATTTTTATTTTATATAGAATAATTAGAGCGTGTTATAACTGATCGAAAGAAAAATTATTAATTAGATTTTGATCATGGACATTTGATTATTATCTATTTTTTTCTTTCCAACGATATTAAAAATACTCGAGCGACTTAACAAAGAAAGTTTTGTAAAAATTTCTATCAACATAAGTGACAGTACGGTCTAGTATCGATTTCTTTTTTTTTCCTTTTTCTTTTTATTTTATATAAAATAATTAGAGCACGTTATAACTGATCGGTAGAAAAATTATTAATTAGATTTTGACCGTGGATATTTAAAATAAAAGAGTAATGAATTTTCGAGACGTAAAAGAAAAAAAATGAAAATGGACGAATTTATCTATAGAGAATAAAAATGGATGATGATTATTGTTACACCGAGTGTATACTAAATAGGGACTAATAAAATTACGCCGACGACGAGTAGTTCTCAAATTGGGTCATTTATTTTTGGGTACCCTCCTTCCCCCTACTACCGACGGCCACGTGGAAGAAGAAGCAGTCTTGATTAATTCTCGTGGCAGATTTTGCGCTGCGCTAATTACGCTAAGTGAGACACCCAGCGAGAGGAGTGGGGGAAAGGGGCGACTGCATGCAAGGGGAGTGCGAAAGTAGCAACCGACGGAAAATGCAGGCGAAGCGAAAGGAGGACAAGAAACACGAGAACGATTCTCGTTTCTCGGATTTAATGGATATCTTGAGCGACATCGTCTGGCGAATTTCATGAAGAAAAATAAAAAAAGAAAAAAAGTGAATCGGAAGAAATAAATATTCATAATCTTTCATTTATTTTCATTAATGCAAAATATTGTAATCATAATGTTTTATACTTAACGCGCTAACGCAAAAGACAAAAAGGAGAGGCCCCAAAAAATCAGACAAATAATGCGAGACAATTCAATATCATACCGTCCTATAATACCAAAATTTACTATAATTTTATTCATTTGGATAAAAAACATTATTTATTATAATTAAAAGTGAAGTAAAATTTGTTGATAATAAAAAAAAAAAGAAAAAGAAAAAGAAAAAAGAAGAAAACAGAATTTATTACAATTTTATTCATGAAAATGAATATAAATTATAATATGAACTAATTTTTACTATATCCTAAGTTAACATTCACTTTTGTAAAAACAAATGTGAGAGAAAATTCGAAAGGAAATTGGCGAACTAAAGATATATTCGTTGGCGTTCTCGATCGGCAAAAAAAAAAAAGAATAAAAAAAAAAAAATAAAAAAAGGAAAAAAAAGGAAAAAAAAGAAAAAACCGAAAAAAGTTTGTGGAATTTTCGCGTATGGAGAAACTCTATCGTGCTGTGTAATGCGCGAGCGGCGTGATATAATCGGCGAGAGTGCATTCAATGATAATAACACGGACGCGATACTCGAGCATGCAATTCGTAAAAGCATTCTTCCCCTCGTACCTACTATCCTCGTTATACAGCTACCCCTCTTCCACCCTCTCATTTCACCCTGTACTACCTCGTTCGTTGCTCTCGCTGGATAAAATTAAAAAGTTAATAGAAGCTACCTAGCGCGTGCCGACTATGCTCATGGATAAAGAGAGAGAGAGAGAGAGAGAGAGAGAGAGAGAGAGAGAGAGAGAGAGAGAGAGAGAGAGCTTTCGATCGCGATTTAACTTTAAAGGAAAAAAGAAAGAAAAAAAAAGAAAACTAACTAAAAATACGCACTTAGATTCGTTGTAATGCTCTATACTTCTTCTTCTTCTTCATTTGCGCTTATAACCTTCTTAATTACATTTTTGATTGCATTAAAATATAAAAAAAAAAAATAAAAGAACGTTTAATAATATCGAGAAAATATGTCAAAGAAAATATATATTTAATTAATATAATAATAAAATATATATATATATATATATATATATATATATATATATATATACATATGTACACATATTTCGATATTATTTTATTCGATTATTTACATCGATTTAATTTAAATCGATTATTTCAAATATATATATATATATATATATATATATATATATATATATATATATATATATTTGAAATAATCGATTTAAATATGAATCGATTTAATTTGAATAGGATATTATCGATTTAATTTGAATAGGATATTAATGGCTTATACATTTTTCTAATCATAAACTTTTGATATTTCGATTAATTTATAACTATTAGAAAAGAATATCCTATACACATATATAGAAATATAGATCTAAGTATAGATAAATCTAAGGGGTAAGAAAGAAATTTATTCTTGTAGTCTTATTTTATCAGAATTGAAATCGAATATGATGAAGAAGAACAGAGATAGGTAAATAGACAGATAGATAAATAGATAGAGAGAGAGAGAGAGAGAGAGAGAGGAAGAAAGAAAGAAATAGAAAGAGAGAGAAAGAGAGTATGAGTAGGCGTCTCGTTGTCGTATTCCTCGGATACTCTTCGTTACAGAAACTTTCTGATACGTTAATTAACGTAAGCCCGTAGGAGAAGTTATTACCTCAAAGATAATTACGAGAGAGTAGCATTGGGCTTCGTCGTCGTCGTTATCCCTCCGATAGAGGATACGTGCTCAAAAGAAAGAGAGAGAAAGAGAGAGGGAGAGAGATGGAGAGGGAGAGGGAGAGAAGAAGAAAGTTTCTACCGATGGATAAATCTTTTCCATTTCGTTTGAGCTGATAATTTCTGTAAGATAAGAAACATTACGCATGGGATTAATTCATGCGAATTAACTATTAAACAAAAATTTTAAAAGGTCAAACAATTATAGGGTGTTCAACATACGACAAGATCCTTCATATATCGAATTAATCGTAATCAAAGCATTAATTATCTTTTATCAATTTTATAAAACGTATCTATTTTAACTATTAACGAGTACTGCAACCGCACAGAATTTCTTATTTAATCCTTTTCTTTTTCTTTTTTTTTTTTTTTCTTTTTTCCTTTTTCTCTCCTTAACTTATCGTCTAATTTTACATTTGCATTTCAATGAAATTCTTACATAATTTGATAGATTAAATTTACAAATTGATAGAATTCATTAAGAAAGAACGAGGATCACTATTTTTGCCGTATTAAAATTATCTCAATCAATTTTATAAAACTGATTCGGCTATATATATATATATATATATATATATATATATAATTCTCTTTCTTCGAAATTATTCGACTTTAAATATCAATTTGAATGAAATTTTACAAGTATGCGCTTATACACAGTTATAGATGCATACGTGCATAGATACATTCAGACATACATACGTATGTACATACATACATACATATATATATATAGGTACATACATAAATGGAGTTGCGAATAAATGGCCAGCTCTTGTCTCGTGTACGCCTCGTTGCTTTGTATCGCGTTAAGCTAACAAAATCGAAAATCAATCTGGCGTTACAAAATGAAAGAGACGAGTATATCGCATATGAAAGAACAAAAAAAAAAGAAGGAGGGAAGAAGAGGGAGGATAGTAGAGACATAGACATAGACATAGGACAGATAGAGAGAGAGAGAGAAAGAGAGAAAAGAGGAAGCGAAGTGTATTGGAAAGAGAAAAGAGAGTAAATGATGCATAACAAGTACGGGTCCATTTTGTATATAACGTGTGTTGTGCCACACTATCGTTATACGCTACGAGTATTTCAAATTCACGTGGCTCCCAAGGAAATGATTTGAAAATTTTCACCGATCGATCATGCACGAACGAACGGATTTGAAAAAGTAATAATCTTTCGAACCATCGTTATTTGTTCCTTTTATATTCTACACATTAATAAAAATGAAACTTTATGGTCCTAAAAGAAAGCGAAAAAAGTGGGAGAGAAGAAAGAGAAAAAAAAAATTCAACATATATATATATATATATATTATTCGATAATTATACATTACTAGATAATAATAATAATATACCTATGAATTTGACATTATTATTAATTAATGGACAATTTGTTATGGATAATTAATGGAAACGACAAGAAAATTATTGTTTCGATAAAACTTCTAATAAATAAATGTACAAGGGATGATAATGACAATTATAAAAAAAGAGAAAGAGAGAGAGAGAGAGAGATAGAGAGAGAGAGAGAAAGATAGAGACTTAAGAGAAAAAAGAAAGGAAAAGAAAGAAAGGAAGAAAGATAGAAAACAGACAGGAAGTAACAAATGACTCGGATCAAAAACGAGTTCGGACAAATTGATTCTACCAGCCCATCCCTCCTTAATCTTCCTCTCTATTTTTCACATAGTAGCAGCGAAAGCGACATGATAATGGAAATACGAGGGACAATCAGCGACTCGACGTGCGGTCGGAAACGAACAATTGGTCACGGTCGTTAGTAAACCGTTAGTACGGTACGTCTGCGACGAGCTCTCTCTCTCTCTCTCTCTCTCTCTCTCTCTCTCTCTCTTCTCTTTCTCTCTCTCTCTCTCTCTCTCTCTCTTTTTACCTCCCACCCACCCTTCTCTTACATTCTCTTTCATTCGTTTCTTCCTACACTTCCTTTCTCCCTCTTTCTCATCGTATCAACGTGGATTTAAACTTAATTCTCCCTCTCTTCTCTCTCTCTCTCTCTCTCTCTCTCTCTCTCCCACCCCTTATTCTTTTCTCCTAATCGTCGTTTTTATCTGATCGTTTTACATATCTATCTCTTTCTTTCCTCCCCTCTTAACAATGGATATGTATAATTTGCGAACGAATTTTCTAAATCTCTCGCGCTTATCAAAAGTATTTAGTTTCCTTGATAAATTATTAAAATTAAAATATGATCGAAGATATAAAAAGGAAAAATAGAAAGTTTCATAACAAGCTGAACGCTTAAATGTTCCTTAAAATAGATTTAAACTTAATTCTCTCTCGCTCTCTCCCTCTCTCTCTCTCTCTCTTTCTCTCTATCCATCTCTTTCCTTCCCCCGCCTTAACGAATTCGCGAAAGAATTTTCTCAAGTTTTTCGCGCTTATCGAAAGTATTTAATTTCCTTGATGAATTATAAAATGTTAAGACATGGGAAAAGATATAAAAAGCTATAAAGAAAAAAAAAAAACAAAAAAAAAAAAAAAAACAAAAAAAGAGAAAAAAAAATAGAAAAAAAATAGAAAAAAAATAGAAATTTCTACAACAAGCTGGACGGTAAAACGTTCCTTAATGACCCGACCCAGTGCACCGGCATTTATTGTCTCCCTCTTGGCCATGCAACGAAGCCTCGAGTTGGTGCTTCCTGCAAAATGGTCCAAGGATTACGCTCGTGGCGAGCTCTCCATATTCTACAATTCTTAACCACCGGCAGTAATTCTGCCATGTAACAACATAGAACGCACACAGATTCTCTTAACGTTCTCTAGCATGGTGGATTTAAAGGAAAAGAGAAATGTTAAAATGTATGAGTGCCTCGTTACATTTTGGTATCAGGAACGTAAGTACAACAATGAATTTATGTAATCGCATGAAAAAAAAAAAGAAGAAAAAAAAAAGAGAAAAGAGAAAAAAAATAGTATATTTATTATTCTTATTAATGGATATCAAGAGGATTAATTATGAAGAATAAATTTCACATTGCAATGAAAGTATTTTCGTACGTTTAAGTTATATATATATATATATATTTTTTTTTCTCTTGTTTTCTTTTTCTATTTGTTTCTTTTTTTAAATAATTCAGACTCACGAGAAAGTCTAACAATTTTTTTTTCATTATAAAAGTGAACTCTCATTCGTTTATGTTTATTCTCGTTAAACATTCGATAAATTATACAAA